ACAAACATCTTTGTATTCTCTTTGGCCACAGTTGAAGTCTCAGAGGACTGGAGAATAGCCAAAGTCGTCCCATTGTTTCAGAAGAGTAGCAGGCATAATCCAGGAATACAGGCCTGTGAGCCTCACATTAGTGGCAGGGAAATTATTGGAAAAGATTCTCATGGGCAAGATCTATACACATTCTGAAGCAAATGGACTTATTAGCTACAGACAGCATGGTTTTGTGTGAGGGAGGCCGTACCTCACTAACTTGTTTGATTTTATTTTTAAGGAGGTGATGAAGATGACTGATTGAGGCAAAAACAGTTTAAAAGGACTTCCATAAAACCTTTCACAATGTCTCTCATGACAGACTGATCCACAGATGAAGTCACATGGCATCAGGGGTGATATGAGCTCAGTGATATCAGGCACCCTTCTTGTTAAGCAGATGAATTTGGGTGTGCAGATCCACAGATCACTGAAGGTGGCAGCGCAGGTAGATAAGGCAGTAAAAATTTGTCTTTGGCATGCTTGCCTTCATTGGAAGTAGCTTTGGTACAAGGATAGGCAAGTTATGCTGCAGCTTTATCGAACTTTAGATAGACCGCGCCAAAAGTTTTGTGTACAGTTCTTGTCACCACACTAGCAGCAGGATGTGGATGCTTTGGAGAGGGTACAAAATGGCTTACCAGGGTGTTGCCTGGTCTGGGGGATTTTAGCTATGAAAGAATGTTTGGATAGACCGGGTTTGTTTTCACTGGAATGCAGGAGGTTGAGGGGTGACCTGACAGAAATTTATAAGATAGTGAATGACATGGACACAGTGGAAAGAATAAGGCTTTACCCAGAGTCAAAGGGTCTATTACAAGCGGACTCAGGTTCAAGGTCAAAAAGCAGGAACAAAAACAAAGTTGCTGGAAAAGCTCAGCAGGTCTGGCAGCATCTGTGAACGAAAAAACAGAGTTAACGTTTCGGGTCTGGTGACCCTTCCTTAGGACTGATGGTGGCTGGGAAAATGTCAGTTTTTATGCAGAAAATAGGAAGGTGGGTGGGGTAGGGAGTAAACGATAGGACAGAGCCCAAAGAGAGAGAAAGACAGTTGGACAGACAAAGGAGTTGCGAACAGTCAGGGTGGGAGGGTGAATAATTGTTATTGGGAATTGTTCGTTACTAACAACAGGGGGTGTGTAATGGCAGGTTATGTGGTAACAGGACCTGGTGTGTCGGGTAGGGGGCTGGGACATGGGAGAGTTTAGGCCCCAAAATTATTGAACTCAATATTGAGTCCGGAGGGCTGGAGGGTCCCCAAGTGGAAAATGACGTGTTATTTCTCCAGCTTGCATTGGGCTTCGCTGGAACACTGCAGCAAGCTAGAGACAGAGATGTTGGCCAGGGAGCAGGGTGGTGCATTAAAGTGGCAGGAAACAGGGAGTTCAGGGTCTTTTTTGCGAGTAGGACGTAGATGTTCTGCGAAGCGCTCGCCAAGTCAATGCTTCGAATCCTCAATGTAGAGGAGACCACACTGTGAGCAGCGAATGCAGTAGACCTGATTCTGGGAAGTGCAGGTGAAGTGTTGCTTCACTTGGAAAGTATGTTTGGTCCCTTGGATATTGGGGAGGGAGGAGGTAAATGGGCAGGTGTTGCTCCTTCGCTGGTTACAGGGGAAGGTGCCGTAGAGCTGTAGGGAGGTGTTGGGGGTGAAGGAAGTGTGGGCCAGAGTATCCCAGAGGGAATGGTCCCTGTGGAAGGCAGACAAGGGGTGGGGGGGTGGGGGGAATATGTGTCTGGTGGTGGCATCTCACTGAAGGTGGCGGAAGTGGCGTCTGGTGATCTTCTGGATGTGGATGCTGGTGGGATGGTAGGTGAGGATAAGGGGAACCCTATCAATGTTGCGGGAGGGAAGAGAAGGGGTAAGGGCGAAAGTGCGGGAGATGGGTCGGACCTGGTTGAGGGCCCTGTTGACAACGGAGCTGGGGAATCCTTGGTTGAGGAAAAAGGTGGAAATTTCGGAGGCTCCCTTGTCAAAGTTGGTCGCATCTGAACATATGCGATGAAGACGGAGGAACTGAGAGAATGGGATGGAGACTTTACAGGAAGTGAGGTGTGAGGATATATAGTCCAGGTAACTGTGGGAGTCAGTGGGTTTTCAGTGGATATTAGTGGCCAGTCTGTCCCCAGAAATGGAAACAGAAATGTCGAGGAAGGGAAGGGAGGAGTCAGAGATAGGCCAGTGAAAGTGAGGGCAAGGTGGAAATTGGAGGCACAATTGATGAGGTTTTCAAATTCCAGATGACAGAGGGAAGCAGCACCGATGATATCATTGACGTATCAGAGAAAGAGTTGTGGGTGGGGGCCGGAATAGGACTGGAACAGGAATGCTCCACGTACCCCATGATGAGACAGGCATAACTAGGGCCCATGCGGGTACCCATCGCAACCCCTCTTACCTGAAGAAAATGAGAGGAGTTGAAAGAGAATTTGTTGAGGGTGAAGACAAGCTCAGCCAAGCGGAGGAGGGTGGTGGTGGGTGGAGGTGGTTTAGGCCTTTGCTCCAGGAAGAAGCGGAGAGTCCTGAGACCCTCCTAGTGGGGAATGGACGTGTAAAAGGATTGCACATTCATGGTAAAGAGGAGGCGGCTGGTGCCGGTAAACTGGAAGTTTTGAAACTGGCATAAGGCATCGGAGGAATCATGGATGTACGTGGGTAGGGATTGGACCAGAGGAGAGAAGGCTGAGTCAAGGTAGGAAGTGCTGAGTTCTGTCGGGCGGGAGCAAGCTGAAACACTGGGTCTGCCCGCACAGTCCTGTTTCTGGATTTTTGGCAGGAGGTAGAAATGAGCTGTGCGGGGTTAGGGGACTATTAGCTTGGAAGCAGAGTGGGGGAGATCACCGAATGAAATGAGATCAGTTACCATAGTGGATACAATGGCCTGATGTGTCATGGTGGGGTCATGATCCAAGGGAAGGTAGGAGGAGGTACCTGAGAGTTGGTGCTTAGCCTCTGCAATGTAGAGGTCAGTACGCCAGACTACAACAGCACCACCCTTATCGGCAGGTTATTGACAAAGTCAGGGTTAGATCTGAGTGCACGGAGTGCAGTCACTTCAGACGGAGATAGGTTGGACTTGGTGAGAGGGACAGCAAAATTGAGGCAACTAATATCATGTCGACAGTTCTCAATGAACAGATCGAGTGCAGGTAAAAGGCTAGAGGGAGGGGTCCAGGTGGAGGGAGGGTATTGGAACTGGGCGAAGGGGTCTGTGGGATGGGAAGCAGGCTCTTGTCCAAAGAAATGGGCACGGAGGCGAAGATGGCGGAAGAAGAGTTCATGTCGTGCCTGAAATTCGTGTGCATCTCAGGATGCGGTGAGAGCAGCTGTCTGTGGAATGTTGAACATCACGGAGATACCTGTGATCCTGGGAGGATTCAAAACATGAGGGATGAAACTTCAGTTGGAATCCACATGGTGTGGGTCTGAGCAGGAGGCAGTCACTGAGGAATGTGTTATGACTGTGGAAATGTGTTTTATCAAATACCTGGTCAAACACCAGGATTAACAGTGAAATTAATATCGGTGGGCAAGGAGAGAGATTGGAATGGAAATCCCATCTGAGAGAGGAGCAGAACTTCTTCACAGTGGGGATGCCTGGAAGAGATTTGGCAGTGAGTTAAATACTAAATAAAAACTGAAAGAACTGTGCATGCTGTAAATCAGGAACAAAAACAAAGTTGCTGGAAAAGCTCAGCAAGTCTGGCAGCATCTGTAAAGCAAAAAACAGAGTTAATGTTTCAGGTCCAGTGACCCTTCCTCAGAATTGATGGTGGCTGGGAAAATGTCAGTTTATATGCAGGAAATAGGGAGATTCAAGGTGTGGAGGTGGGGGTAAGTTTAAAAGAGACGCAAAACACAGGCCATGGTCTGGTACACACTGGCCCGTATCTGAGGCAGAGTCAGAGGATGCGGACCTGGGACAAAAATGCTGCACAACCCAGGACTCAGAGTGGGAAGGATGTCGTGGTTTTAATGAGGTCAACCAGATTGATATCATAGAATGTGAGTTCCCAGATTGGGACTGGTTCAATCTTGAATTAGATTTAGTTTTATTGTAAAATGTACTCAAAAGAGTACAGCGAAAAGTTTACAAATCGCCTCTTATGGCACCATCTTAGGTACAAAGGTAAATAGTTACAGATTCTTCAGTACAAGTTCTTGGGGGGGGTGGGGGGGTAGAAAAATAAATAAATAAATAATCCAGTATTAGAGATCGTAGGAACAAATTTTTAAAAAAGATAGAGAAATAAAAAAGTTCAGCGAAACAGTCCTTCGAACCCAGTCCACGCTCCCACCTAGCTTCCAGTCCCCACTCAGCCTTGACTCCAGACTGCGCTGGGTTTCACCTCGAGGCTGACAAGGCCAGGAGACCACTCTGGAATCACCTGGAGGATGGAAGTTCATGCTTAGGCCACATTGGACCAAAGGCCGTCAAAGGCCGCTGAGAGACTGCCACATGGGGCCGAGCCTTCGCCACGCCAGGCCGGGAGACCACCTCGCAGGGTGCAGGAGTCCTGGATGATGGATATAAACAGGAGTGTTCACCCTAGAAGTTGGCTCTCAGCTAGCTAGAACACCATCATGTATTAGACGCATGTCAATAAAGGATGACAGCACACAGCCTGCATGGGGTTATTTCAGATTGATTCTGGGCTATAAGTTTGATATGTTACCAAGCACATCTTAGCTTAGTTCAATACAAGTATTTAACTAGTATGTCTTAGTTAATTTTGAAAAAAAGAAGTGATTTCTTAGACAATTTCAAACCAAATAGTGTGTCGCTTTGAAAAGAGAATGAAGTTTATATGGGGAGACTACTTTTGGTACTCTTAATGTTAGAACTTTCAGAACAGCCATAAACATGCTGTTGTCTATTAACTTCAACATAGTGAAGTTCCAATTTATTTCGATCTTTCCTTTCTTTTATGCACTTAGGGATTTGATATCTATGCATCACAAGAAAAGGATGACCAATATAACAGAGACAAATGAATCTCAGAGCATCACAAATGGATTGTTTGATGTTGCAAGAGGGAGTTCCTATAAAATAGTGGGAGCGGTCTTCATTGTTATTGCAGCAGGATCTTTAAGTTTGGCGACCATTATTGGAAACATTCTGATCCTAGTATCTATCAAAGTAAACAGACATTTGCGAACTATTAATAACTACTTTATTTTCAGCTTAGCCTGTGCGGATTTTATTATTGGTGCATTCTCTATGAACCTATACACCATTTATATTGTAAATGGATACTGGCCTCTGGGTCCAGTGGTATGTGATTTATGGCTTGCTGTAGATTATGTTGTCAGTTATGCCTCTTCCATGAACCTCCTTATGATCAGCCTTGATCGCTATTTCTGCGTGACAAAGTTGGTTCGCTACCCTGTGAAGGAAAGACCTAAGATGGCCTTGATGATGATTACAGCTGCTTGGGTATTGCCATTTATCCTATGGGCGCCGTCCATTATCTTCTGGCAGTACATCGTAGGGAAGCGGACAGTTAACGAAGGTGAGTGTTACGTACAATTCTTCTCAAATCCTGCCGTCACTCTTGGTATCGGTACAGCTTCTTTCTATCTCCCAGCTATAATCATGGTGACTTTGTATACATTCATATCTCGTGCAAGCAAATGCCGAATTAAACAGGATAAAACAGTGCCTGAAACAAGCAATTCCACAGTTTCTTCTAGCCCAGTGAAAGACAAAATAGCAAAAGCAAATAATAACAGAATTCCAACAATTCCTGATGTGCCTCTGCATGACCAAATACAAAGTGGCAAAATACCCGGTCAATTGACAGCTGATAGCTATGACCAAAGTCATCAAGATGAACTCACTAATGACTCAACTTATCTCAGTGCATTGCCTAGTAATGAGAATCAGGAAGAAGCAATCCAAGGCAAAACAAACGTTTATGTGGCACAAAATTATTTTAGGATTGACAACTCCAATTTCTTCTCAACGAAGGTAGTTTGTAAATCTGAAAAAGATGTCGACTGTGGCAACACAGTAGGAATACTCCCAAATATCAACAGGAAGAAAAGGAATGGCCGAATGATAAGAACAGGCCATAATTTAGTTAACATAAAAAGGACTACAATGAAGAAGGTATCTAAATCGCGAGAGAATAAGGTAACCAGAACCATATTAGCTATCATCCTTGCATCCATTATTACTGGAACACCGTACAATGTCATGATGCTGTTGAGCACTTTCTGCTCAATTTGTGTCCCTGACACATTGTGGACCATTGGATATTGGCTCTGTTACATCAACAGCACCATCAACCCATTCTGTTATGCTCTGTGCAATACCATCTTCAAGAAAACCTTCAAGAATCTTCTCTCATGCAAGTACAAAAATATTGGTACAACAAAATGAAAGAAAAGCTACGAGTATAATCTTGTGCACGCTTCATAAATATCGTTGACTTGATTTTCCTTATTTATATTCAAAATGTACAGAGGGATTCTTTTTTAATTGTGCCAGATTATGTATCAAGTTTGCACTTATTTGTAATATCAAAAATGACATTTTAAACTAATTTATATGCATCCTATTGATAAAATTGATGCTGCTTATTAGAGTACATTTGTGAAGGAATGAGAAGGTAAACTTACCCAATATTTAAGCATCATCAAATACAGCATAAAGTTGTTCCGTGAGGATTTTTTCATTTGACAATATTGTGCACATTAACAAGATATCACTGCCTTCCTAAAGTGCAACATAACCTATCCAATATCTTCAAATCATTAAAATGACATGACGTTCTCATAGTGTGTACACTCTTTGAACATTTATAACAGATGTCTTTTAGGTATTTTGATAATAGCTAATTCCCTATTTCAGAAAGAGTCTTTGGAAATTAAAAGAGGAGCTCTACTAATTATTCACAGTCATGTGGGATTAGCCTGATGTCAATGCATCTGATTGGCTCCTCAAATGAATTACTCATTTTTATTAGCATTAAAATAACCCTCACTTGAATAAGAACATAAGACCATCGAATTAAGCATTCATTTATCGATAATAATCCACCATATTTATGTAAAATAAGTGCAGTTAGAATCCATGGAATATTGGAAGTGCTCTGATTGTCACAAAGAGCCTGAAGGTATGTAATGAAACTTGGATACTGTGACAAAATGCTAGTGCATGTTCCTGAAATTTTATTGTGTTGTACCAGCTTTCAAGCTTGTTTTTTGGTTTCTGTGTGTTTAGTTGATTGATTAAGTCGACAGCAGAGATATTTTCCCTCCAAAATTTGAACTAATCCCGAATCATAGAATACAGCAGTTGCTTACGATAAAATAATATTCAGAATAGCAAATCACAGCTCTACCACACCTAAAGTGTAAGACAGCCTCACAGTGAAGACAGGAAAAGCAACAAAATGCAGAATGTATTAAAAATATATCAACAAACGCACGTTTTTGATCCAGATGTGAACATAAATGTAGATAATACAACCTTCGATGATGTTGGCTTGTAGTTCAAACAATTATTATTCGAACAACGTGTACTTTGTTTCATGTTTGGTGCAAGTAAAATACATTACCTGAGAAATCAACATGTCTCATCTATTTGTGGTTTGAAATAAAAGAGTGGAAACAACTGTTTTCTTCGGATCGGTGACGCTACTGGCTCAAACACTCCTGCTCGGAAATCACAGGAAACGGAAATTACTGTAGATGTTGACTGTCCCAGACAAAAGAAATAGAAAGTGCTGCAAATACTCGGCAGTGAACGCACCATCAGTGGATCAGGGATACAAAACCGAGAACTAATGAATAGAATGCACCTCCTGTTGGAGCGTGTGGGGACGTAAATTCCCAGAAATTGGCATTGGTTAGATATATCTACCTCATTCCATGTTGTGTTCAGAAACGGCGGGTTTGGAGGGGCATGAGGTTTTGATTGGGTGGGTGGTAGGTGGTTGAATACTCAGTCATCTGTACTTGGATAGCTACATGGGGAATGTAAGAATTGAACCCGGCGTGGCTTTTAATCCTCTTGGGGTTTCGTAATTCCAAAAGCATTTGGTGACAGGATGAGTGACTTTCCATCGGGGGTGGGGAGAAGAATAAAAATAAGAAGACACCTCCCTTCTCCTGTTGATAAATCTTCCTCGACTGCCCACATTCTTTATCCACAGCTACTTAGAAGTATCAATGAATCGAACAAGGATCCGGGTCTCCGATGGTTGAATTCCACGCAGCAATGACTTCCTCCCCGTGAGGTTGCTGAGTGGAAATCAATATGAATATATTCCTTGGATGCCTGTTGGCAGGCATGTCCACTGCCCCGAGGCCCTCCTTCCTGAAAAGGTTCCACCAACTGCCACTCACCTATTTGCTTGACTGTCAGTTTTGGTATGATATTCTTTAAAATGAGGCAGCACGGTGTCTAGCTGGATCTCTAGACTACAGGCCAGATCACCAGCATCTCCACAAGTGACAACCATTCTAAACAAGATCCCGAAGTGAATCATTTACTTTCAACTTTTCTTAGTGATAGGTTTGGAAAACAGACAAGGTAACCTTTTTGGATCGGCCAACTAGGCAGTTAAGTGTTGGTTAGCTCTGTTAGCTGTTTGGCTGGATGATCTGTCAGGCTCAGTTCCCATCCTGGGTTCACAATGAAGGTGACCCTCAACGAAACTCAGCAGAGAGTTGTCTCCTTCTTATGAGAGTGGCTATTGCTGCTATGAAGACTTTCACATTCAAATAAGAAACATTTGACATAACTGGGATGTCAATCAACTGAAGCTCAGATTTCTTGGCTGGAATGCATTTCCTGATCCGTCAGTGACTCTCCAAAGTCAACAATGCAAATGCACAGTTGGAAGACTGAGTTTGGGGTAGACAAATGTTGCTGTGTACATGTGTGAGTGCTTGTGTGGGAAGGGGTGTAGTGTTGTTGGTGAGATGCACATTGGGCGGGGCATTTGGAGATGGTTTGTGCTGGATAATGAAGGAAACTCCCTAATACAGACTCATTCTGTTTCTGGAATGTTCCTGGTCCTGTGAGGGGTTGGATGGGTGAGATAGGGAGTTAATTTTAGAATATGGAACCTTTGTCAGTGTTCTGACATCCTGCTGTGTCTGGGCGATGGTGAAAAATGGTTCACGAGATAGAGTGCCCCGTAGCTACTTTGCAACATTTAATGCACAATTATTTGCTGATAGGGCATTCCACAAGGATTTAATGTCCAAATAATACCACCTCCCCATCCCAATTGATGCGATTGCTGGATTAGCAGATGGAGAATGCTTGTTTACAGAAACACATGGGCTCAGACGGGGTCTCTTTTCTATTCTACTGAGCTGTGCCACAGCACCGTTATGGATACGGAGGACAGAGATATGGAATTTGAACAGATTATGGAGTAGTTCCACCTCAATAGGGCTTGGCTGGAAGATATTATAAACTTATTCAAGGGTTTGTTCCCCTCCTTTTGCCCCAATACAGTGCTAGTGTTCATAACTGCCAATGGAATGCATCTTTCAATTGCACCATGCTCTGTTGACAACATTCTCGCCGTATAACCCACCATTTGATCTTAGCTGAATTTCATTTCTGGTGGTGGTCTTGACAGTGTCAGCCTCTGGAAAGATTTCTCAGGGTGGTAACCCAACCATTGAAACTGGAATGTAGTTGCAGATATCCCACAGCCCTGGAGTTATTCTGTGAATAGACAAAAATTAACATTGTGGTCAGTCCTTCCTCCAAAACCCTGTCTATGCTCCCTTCATACTGTCCTTACTCTCCCAATTGAAATAGTTTTAATTTTCAGATTTTTTTGTGTTTAAATAAATTAAATGCACATCATCTTAAATCCATTGTGATTGTTTTGATTGAGTTGTCTAATGTTGTTTTTCAACATTAACGCAAATTAATGCCAGCCTCCAAGGATTCTATCACAATCACCAAAGGGATTTCCACTTCTTTTTATAAAACATATTTCAATGTCACCAGCATTAATAATGACCAATGGCTTCAGAGAGAGTGCAAGGATGAAGAAAGAGTTATGGGGTGATGGACAAGATACTTTTCTTCATTTTTGAAGTAGAAAAGATTTACTATCCTCTCCTTGGTACTATTGGTATTGCTGGTAAGTTTCTGGAAGCAGACATGAATTCCTGAATAATATATTCCATTCTGTTGCAGTTCTTGCAAGGTTACAACAGCAGAGCTAGCTATTAATTCTCAGGAGGAACTTGCTTTGATATTTTGAGTGGAATGAATTGCATATCATCACTTTCAACATTTCACCAGTTAATATGTCCATCTGAAGTTTGAACATAACTCTGCTTGATAAAGAAACAGATACTTGATGCTCTGTTCAAGACATGCATGTGCAGGGTGTGTCTAGAGGCGTACTGTAATGTTTCTGAAGTCAGCTCATTTAATAGCATCTTGATATCAAACCAATTTTTCGTACTGTCTATAGTGTGGTATCATAACAATAGTGCATTACCTTGAAAAGTATTTTCTTTAGACTTTCCGTGTACTCCTTTCCAATCAATGACTTGATGTAATAGAACTGCAACCATTTTTTACAGGTAAGGGAATCTTTAAGATCGTGGAAGCACTGTTCAGTTTTCCTCCTTATTGTAAAAATTTCTACAAGATGCTATTTTGTAGTAGTAGGTAATTGTTAGGTATTTTATAGTGTGCACTCCTTCAGATACGTACCCAATAGCTGCTTATTGACAGCAAGAAGAACTTTAGACCTCTCAGTGTCATTGTGAAAACTTCTGAAATCTGTTTCCCATCAGTGACATTATTTACATAAGGTTATGATCAGTTAATTTAGTAAAATTGGTATCATTACCTTTACTGTCTGTGCATCGCAGAATATTCATCCATTTTGGATAACAGTCTGATTTATCCTTAATCCTGTTCACACTGATCCTGCCTCCACCACATAGATGGTGCATCTAGAACGTAACATTTGATGTATGAAAAAGATTTTGCTTGTTTCAATAATGTTTCTTTTCTAACTACAAGAAAGTTGTGCATTTTCTTCTTCCATCTTACTTCAAGGGGAACAGTTTCTCTTTATGGAATTTTATGTTTTTATGAATTTTATGAATTTTAATTTCCACTCTAAGCTCGCTACATTGAGCTTAATGTTACATCATCAAATTTGCAGTTTACCTCTTCTGCATTATATTATATATGAAAATGATGTTCTTTATTTTGCAAATACAGGGAAAAAGTTGTCAGAACTGCAATCATTTTATTGAATCTATAAAATGCTTTTGGTCATTTTATTTTTGCTTTATAAATAAACTCTTCCATATAATTGAGAATTTACTTAATTCAGGTCCTGTTTACAGCAGTTAACAATATCACAGATATATTAATATATATCCATGGATAGAGTAATTAATCAGTCAGACTTATAGCATTGTAACTAGCAGATGATTAATATACCTGTTTATTCCTCTTCCTTACAGTTAACGCAGTGACGATTGGGATCTTATCACAGGGAAAGTGTGGCCTCTCCAAAGGTGTAACTCATTATCTGGTGGCCACGGCAGCAGCAGATCTAATAGTGCTTATCACTGATCTGATGTTGAGGCAGATTCCTATTGTTTATTGGAAACACTTTTATTTTATGCAATCCTTCCCTGTGTGCAATATCCATGCATGTTTTGTTTATGCAGCAACAGACTGTTCTCTTTGGTTCACTGTCACTTTCACATTTGATCGATTTGTGGCAATTTGCTACCAGAGACTGAAAACTAAGTATTGTACTGAGAAAACTGTGGCTGTGGTTCTTGGAACTGTGACTGTGTTGAGCTTTTTAAAAAACACTGTGTGGTATTTTTTACTCACAGGCCGGTATTTACTTGTGAACTTACCTTGGTTTTGTGAAACAACATTTGATGTTTTTGATGTATGGCAGCGGATAATAATCGAATTGCTTCAAAACATTGTAACTCCATGTCTCCCATTTGTTCTGATTCTTCTGCTAACTGGTTTTACTGTCAGACATATTTTGGTATCCACTAAAGCACGCAGTAGACTCCGGGCTCACAGCAATACAGTGAGCTTCAGAGACACAGAGATAGAGAACCGAATGAAATCTATTATTTTATTATTTGTGATTTCAGGAAATTTCATATTTTTGTGGGCAATGCATATTGTATATTCAGTGTGGGCTCATTTATGGTATTCACATTATGTGTCTGCAATTGCACCTCATTTTGTTAGCAGATTAGGAATCATGCTTCAGCTCCTGAGTTGCTGCAGAAATACATGCATTTATGCCATAATCCAAACTAAATTCAGAGAGCAGTTGAAGAGTGTGGTCAAATATCCCTTTTCTCAAATTGCAAGATACATTTTACGATGAGAGGCATTGAAGAACTCAAGGCATCAGAAATCAATTCTAATTTAATATCTTAACCATTGTATACAAGAAATGCTGCCATTCTTCTCAGCAAACTCTCTGTCTCCCCATAGCACTTTGGAATCTCAATAATGCAGATATTGGGTGCACTTTCCCACCTCTGCGATGCAGAAGCAACATTTTAGCCTGCTCTGTCCCAGAGGCAATGACACAGACACAATGTGCTTAGTCCGTTCTCACTCAGGCCCAGTGATGCTGACAGAGTATAATCAATCTATTCTCAGTCAGGATAAGTGTAGATCTCAATGTGGTATTTCTGTTCTCCATCAGATCCATCAATATTGATAAATTGGTCTTTTTAGTGTCTTATATATACTCATATCATGGACATTGTCTGCTTCCACATCACTCCACTACTGCACTCCGCCCCAACCTGGACATCAATAATGCAGACAATGATTAATCAATTTTCTTTGACCAGGACGTGGTGACACACATTCACAGAGCCCAGTCTGCTGTCCTGTGTGCACAGTGATACAAACATCCTCTCCCTAGGGCCACTGATATAGAGTCATCAGGGCCTCCTGTTCACATTTTCAGTGGCAATAGAATAAAAAATAGCAAGATTGCTGGGTTCAAAAATTGCTCGAGATTGGATATCAAGGATAGAATTATATAGAAGTTACATGTAGGGAGAATGAGGATAGAAGTACGTTCAGCAGATCAGATGTTTAAAGGAGAAACCAAAATTGGAAATGAGTTTCAAAAATGTCCAAGGAATATTCATATGTACTTGAAGTACCGAATGAAAACATGATAATGCATCAACCCCGAAGTTTAAAAGATGATGCATTAAAACTCTGTGATGGAAGATAAACATAGTGATGAAGAAACTGTACTGCCTACTCGGAGTTTTAGTCAAAACTAAAGGAACTGCGGATGCTGTAAGTCAGCGGATGCTGTAAACAAAAAGACAGAAATTGCTGGAAAAGCTCAGCAGGTCTGGCAGCATCTGTGGAGAGAAATCAAAAATAACGCTTCAGGTCACCGGACCCGAAACGTTAACATTGATTTCTCTGCACAAATGCTGCCAGATCTGCTGAGCTTTTCCAGCAACTTCTGTTTTTGCTTAGGTGTTTTTGTCCTTTGTTAAAAGTGTTAGCCGCATATTTGTTCAACTGTGCTATGCTGTTTTCTGTTACACCTCAAGAGCATTTAAAACAAATGGGTTGAACTCAATTCTCTAAATCATGAAGATCAATGCAATGTTTGAAAATATAGAACAACTAGGCGTTTTCCACTATCGGGTTGCAACGTGGTCAAATCGCATGAAGTCTGTTTGCAGTAGCTAACTTTATCTGTCTGGATGTCCTCCATAATCATATGCATTTACTGCATGCATAAAACTTTGCTTAAAAAAGAAACAGATGAATCTAGATATGTAACGCGATGAAGTTATTTAATTCGTTTTTTTTTTAAAATCAATGGATCGACTGTTAGCACAGCCAGGTGATTTTTGCTTCTCTTTAACAAATCAGTGTATGAGACGAAGGAACTGGAATGTGAAGCAGAGAGAATAAAATCATCTTTAAAATTTTGTACTTGACTTTCTCATTCTACTTTTCAAAGGTAAGCAAAACGTCCTCTAAAATAATGGAAGCCTGTTTGGCGAAGGGGATATGAGGCTAAGGATTGAAATGAGTGAGAATTGTGAAATTTAGAATAAAGAGTTTTGGATGGGCTTTGCTACATCTTGTTGTAGTATTCTGTTAGCTCTTGATTTTACCAAAGTAGTTAACATGAGAATGTCTAAGTTATTTCCCTTTTTGTCATGGCAAACTGATTTGATTTCCTGCAATTTGAATTGGCTAATAATCGAGAAAGATTAAAGGCAAAGTCATGCTAAGTGGATAGGAACAAGATTTGGGGTATCAGTTAAGTTCCAGGCTGATAATGCAGAGGATTCTACCAATTATGCGTTGAACATGTATTTCTTATGAAGACCATAACTAAAAGCATCATTACCCATTGACACTGCAAAACGAATCATGCAACATGGAGAGGGATCAAGGGAACATGTTCTTGGATGAGCAAACTGACTGAATGTTGTCACGGGACTGAGCATTAATATTTCATATAGAGTCAAAGAGTCACACAGTATTGAAACAGACCCTTCAATCTAACTCATACATACTGACTAGGCTCTCAATCTGATGTCCCTTTTGCCAGCATTTGGCTCATATCTCTCTGAACCCTTCCTATTCATATACCCATCTAGATGCATTTTAAATGTTGTAATTGTACCTGCCTCTACCATTTCCTTTGGCAGCTCTTTCCAGACACGCAACACCCTCTGTGTGACAAAGGATGTCTTTTAGATCTTTCCCCTCTTACCTTAAACCTATGCCCTCTAGTTTGGATTCCCCCACCCTCAGAAAAAAGCCTTGGTTATTCACCCAATCTATGCCCCTCGTGATTTCATAAATCTCTATAGCCTTAGCCTCCATTGCTCCAAGGAGAAAAAGCCCCAGCCTATGCAGCCTCTCCATAAAAACACAGGGCATCTACTAAATGACTTTCTACAATGATATATACCCATTGCAGTTAATCCATCTGCTCTGAGTATACTTACACATGACCTATATTCCTCAGTTTTATCAAAAGTGCCAGCGACTGTCATTTCAGTCAAACCGGGAGATTCCTAAAACAGAGTTAACCACAAGGAATAAATCATCACCTCACAGGGTGGAATACAATCAAACAGGATTACGTTGGTTTCAGGGCATGTTTATCTTGGGATCATTTCAGGCCTTTCAAGTGAACAACTCCTTATGGTCATATTTTATTCACTGACTATAATTAATATCAGAATCCACAGAACTGAGTTGGATCACTGGAAAGTTTTACTTTTTTCACCGACATATGTTGTATCATATGCTGTATCACTTAATGTGATAAAGTTGGAGGATAATTTCTAGCCTTAAAAGGATTGGATCACTCCACCAATATGGACCAGTTGATGTTATATTATTTCATCGCTGATTCAGCAAAGATTTACTATCCTCTCTGCTGCTGTAGGTGCTCTGGTGAGTCTTAATGTTCAGCTAGTATTCCTATAACTGATATTGTCCTGCTTTTCTTATTGTTTTCAGTCAGGTAATAATAATAATAGTAAATTATTGTTACATGTATTTATGAAAATACTGTAAGTCACCATTTTAATTACAAAAATTATAAAAGGAAACAAATCATATAACTTTAGGCCAAATTTCCGTTTTTTGTTCCATACACTGCTTTTTGATTTCCTAAGAAGCTACGGGATGCATCTCACTCCACAGCCACCAAAGTTGTCTCTGAGGCCGCAACACCAAAGAGGAAGCACGCTGAAGCGGCCCCCGCTGGCACAGACCGGGAGCAGAATGTCACCTCTGCAAAAGGCGCCTGACTGTAGCCATAGCCAAGAAACTGTACCAACTCTCAAGAACTGGGGCCCATCTCAACTTCAGAGAACCGATTGACTGTGCAAAGTAACTGCCCAAGACCGAGAGAGCGTTCGCTCGAGAGATCATTCAATCCGCTGCCGGTGCAGAAGCCGCCAAAATCTCAAGAGGAAAAGAACCAGCTCCTATTCATTGATGTAACAGTTGCTCAATCTGCAACCACTGTGGCCAAGAGGAATGCAGTTTTACATCTAGTCACTGAATTTTTATTTTAATCCCCTGTTATGTTGTTTTAGTTATTACACAACAACATATTCGTTCCGAGCTTAATGAAAGAAATACCAATGTTTGCACCATTCTGTCAGCTGATTTGCTCGTTTTAAGAACACCGGCCTCTTCAAATGTCTAACATAGTATGTAGGATGGGCCGAAGGGCCAAACGTTAATGATGATATTCGACAGCTGCATGAGAAAATAGATTGGACAGGATGGAGGGATATGCTGGGAAGGTTTAGAATAATACTTAAAAAGCTGCATGACCCTGAATGAGTCCTGCAAATATTCCTTTACTAGCCGAAGATGACACCTGCACATGTTTTCTCACCCCGTTCCGAAGAAGGGTCACCGGACCCGAAACGTTAATTCAAAATGATTTTTTTTCTTTGCAGATGCTGCCGGACCTGCTGAGCTTTCCCAGCAACTTCTGTTTTTGTTCCCGGCTTACAGCATTCGCAGTTCTTTCGTTTTCTTTCCCCGTCCTGTGCTGTCTGTACCAGCCAGCAGTTTTGTCTTGCTGTATCTGCTTTATTTATGCTGGCTGTTTGTCACACTGCATAAGAGAGAGAAAGTTTCGTTCCAAGCTGTTGCTGCTGGACTTTGTTTCGGCTCGGAATCGTGAAATGTGCTAAGAACGAATCGAAGCCTCCAGACCAGCCATCGAGTGAGGGGTCCCCGACAGTCAGAAGAACATAAGCCTTGTTGCTTTTTCTAGACAGTCTTGAGACTTGTTCCTTCCTTTTCCTCTTTTCTTTTCCATTTATTATTACCACTATAATCATTTATTTTTGCCATTATAATCATTATTCTTACTTAGTAAACATTTATATGTGGTCGAGACTTCTCTTAATTATACTTACCCAAATCGGAAAAGAACCGCTTGGATACACACTCTGATCCAAGACACATAGTTTATATGTCAGAAATACCACACATCTGGATACACATGATGGCCAAATACTTGAAATCTGTCAGAACAAGTATGGATAGTTGTTGAGAAATTTCACTCCAATAACTCAGAATCCAGTACCAGTCATCCAGCTCATTTTCTGTCAACTCTGACTTCACATAAACATTTCATTTTCTAGGTGACTTGATATTACAATGGGTATACACATGCTTCCAAAAATAAGTTTACCATCACTTCAAATGATAGCGTACTTCTTTCCAATCTTACTTTTGAAACCATTTAAAATTATTTTTTGAATTTTTAAAAATTATTTGCTGCTCCTTATACCCAAATATAAATTTCCTCTCACAAATTCTCTTTACTGCAATTTTGACGGTTTCAATACTAGCTGCAACACTCAGCTCTTTTCACTGCAACATAAAACTGCCGGATCTTCAGCGATGATTATCTTCTCTTTTCACAAGGGCTATCCATACGCATTATTGCATATTTAAAATATTAATTTTAAGCTACTGATTGCTTTCATAGAGCTCTGCAACATGGAAACAACTTGCCAGTGCTACCCAGATTTCATAACTAAAGTAGTCCCATTTGCTTGCATCTGGTCCATTGCCATCCGAAGCTATCCATTCTGAATGCTTCTGAAACGATGAAATTGTAATCATTTCCACGACCACGTCTGGCAGCCAGTTCCAGACACACCATCCTCTGTGTGAAAAAATTGTGCCTCTGGACGCTTTTGCATCTCTCCCTTCTCACTGTAGACCTGTGCCATCTAGTGGCCAAAAGGCGAAACTAACAGAAATGCATCAACGAGTGGGATGGGGAGAAGAGAGTTGGGTTTCCAAGACTGAATTGGAGATTTTGGTAAAGAGATAGTTTGAAAAGCAGCTTGCAGCCACCACTGAAAAGAAATTCTCAAGAATTCTATCAACACATAAATAGTAAAATCATTGTAGGTAAGAGGAAAAATAAATGATTAGGAACAAAACAAGAGATTTGTAAAAGCTGTCTATGCTATAGTTTGTACACAAATGGTAGTTTCTCTTAACTGAGGAAGGAGATGTGACCCAGTTATTGGTTGAAGTGAAGGTATTGCAGTAGTCGACATATCTGGTATCAATAAGGACGTTGTATCGGTCAAACTGCCTGTAAAGTCATTTGACAACATGTGGTAATGGTTGAGGGACTCACCATAATATTACAGTATTACTTAGAATCACAGTTAGTGCATAATGATTGGAAAATTGTAAATTGGGTCTAGGCCTGAAACGTCAGCTTTCCTGCTCCTCTGATGCTGCTTGGCCTGCTGTGTTCATCACCTTGTTATCTCAGATTCTCCAGCATCTTCAGTTCCTACTATCTCTGCAAATTTTGAATCCTTGTTTGTAAACATGTGTGAAAATAAATCCACTGTCTAAAATTAGTCAGATTGTTTAACCATATTGCTGAAGATTGTTTTAAGATCAAGATGTGACCATTAATGAGAGTGATGTGGTTTATGTGAGCTACATGGGCTTCAAAGGATATGTAGTAAAGAGCGCTGCAACAGACTCATGATCAAAGTTATAACTCATGGAATTCAAAAGGGTACTAGGAAGCATTGTGAACCTTAAAGTACATAGTGTGGAGCATCTCAGAAACATAAATATGTTGGTGAAATGGGCAAAAAAGTGGTTATTGAAATTTCATGAGGAGAAGTGCAAAGTTAGTCATGCTTTTTGGAAAACAGCATAAGATCCAATGTGTAAGTTTATCAAGGTTGCAGGACCAATTGGACTTTGCTGCAGATCCACTGAATTCAGTAAAAGTTAAGAAAGTGGTTAACGAAGCATACAAATTTTTATGTTTTATGTAAAATGGCAGAAAGTAGAAAAGCAAGATGCTACGTTGACTTGTATGACACATTATTTCACCCACAATTGGAGCATGGTGTCTAATGCTCGGACCATAATTTAGGGCCTTACCAATGGCCTTACCAAGGGTGCAGGAAAGATGTGTGCAACTGTTTCCAAGATGAGGAACTTCAGTTAAGTTGATAGATTGGAAAGTTTAAGATTATTTTTCAAGGCGAAGTAAAGATTGACAGGAGATTTGATCAGGGTATGCAAATGCCTGAGGAGTCTCGAAAAACTGCCAAATTAGAATCAGGAGATTTAAGGTCATTGATGAAAGAAGCAATACGACATGAGAATAATATTATTTTTAATACTGCAAGAGATACTTTGATACTGTCTCGCATGTGATAAAAGCGAGATACTGCGGATTCTGTAGATCTGAAACAAATATAGAGAATGTTGGGGAAACTCAGCAGCTCCGACAGTATTGGCGGAGACAAAATCATTGCTAACATTTTGAGTCTGATATGATTCTTCTTCAGGACTGGAGAAGTCACACCATACTTACTACTTTATGTTTGTCTATAAAAACCGAAAGAACTGCAGATGCTGTAAATCAGGAACAAAAGCAAAGTTGTTGGAAAAGCTCACCAGGACTTCCAAGTCCCTGCTGGAGAATTGTGACACTATTTTCCCCATCTCCGACACGTTCAGATTTGTCTTTGACCAAGCAGTGTAGCTTCATATTGTCAATGCTTACCAGCTGCACAGTGGTCTTTTCAAGATAGCACAGGCACCAGATATGCTGGTCTTTTAGCATATATCTGGTGAGTACTGGAGCTATTCCAGGAATGGCACATATTAAAATGGGAATAGAGTCAGATGTGACAGACGCCCATATAGGCATGATAGGCAAGTTCTGTAAAAAAACTGTAAGAGATAACACTAGGCATTATGACGAGAGTTGCTCCAAATAACAATGTAATTCCAATAGGCAGCACAGTGGTTTGGTGGTGAGCACTGCTGTCTCATAGCCTCAGGAACTTGGGTTTGATTCCAACCTTGGGCGACTGTCTGTGTGGAGTTTACACATTCTCCGCATGTCTTCCAGGGCTTCCTCTGTGTGCTCCAGTTTCCTCCCACAGTTCAAGGATGTGCAGTTTAGGTGAATTGGCCATGCAAAATTGCCCATGGTGTCCAGGGATATGCAGACTAAGTGGGTTAGCCATGCGAAATGCAGGGTTACAGAGAGAGGTTAGTGGTCTGGTTGGACTAGCATTCAGAGAGTCAGGGTGGACTTGATGGGTCTAGTGGCCTGCTTCCACACTGTAGGGATTCTAACCCACAATTAGCCAAAAACAAAACATTTTTTGACTTCTTTAACATAACACACTCCACACAAGTAAGATTATAGATTAGCACTGCTAGCAATACAGTCTGGTAGGTGTGATTTATTCTTGCCACTGAAGATCAAGTGCCATTTAGCTCCCTGGCTCTGATAACATTGCAGATACATGTCCCTGTCTGGGTCAGTTGGTAGTTTCCAACCAGAGAATGCAAAATCCTATATCAGTGTTTAAATCAACGAAATGTCAAGTGCTCCAGCCTCAAAAAAAAGGAATTTCCTGCACAACATTCTCTTCCTTTTTGTTCCTTCCGCTGACTAATTTTCCTGTGAACAAACCCATACTAACACTCTAAGAGAAAAGAAACCAGAAAATAACAAACCACCTTCCATGCTATTTTACAATGTGTCTCTCTCTTGTTTATGCAACAGAAACCTCAATCCAAGGCTACATTTAAACATTTTAAATTATTGTTTTTGTCTCATTGCTATTATTTTCATTGCTCAGTCTCTCCAACTCCACTTTTTGTTCTTTTTTAAAGAAAAGCTTGTTCATAAACATTTTCACAATCACACAATCACTTAATATCTTAAAACTCATTACTACCAATGAAGTACTGTTGAAGTGCACTCACTGT